AGAGAACAGAGCTGATATTTACGGAATGTTTATCATGCTAATTTTTGGCCACTAAAACTAAGGAGGCTAGCCCGATAACTTGGCCCATAAGATGCACTGTTTAGAAGGAAATGCAAGATCAGGATTAAGAAGCAGCAATAAGAGAGTTTGGAAGACAGCCTTATAATCTACAGATTTGATCAAGGGCGTTGTAATAAGAGCAGACGGAAAAAACTCCTGAACACTTCCTTTTCTGCAGAGGTAGAGGCAATAAGATACTGTTTGATTTTCAATAATACTAAGATTGATTTCACGCTCCAATGCCCAGAGCCGTACACAGCAGGATACATGTGCAGGCAAGAAACTACCAACGACGTCAACTATGAAAGCATGCGAATGTGCATGCTCATTTAGATGTTCGGGTGTTGGTGTGTTGGTGAATGTGCTAATGAGAATAAAAATCCAGAAAAAGTATAACCAGAAATGCATTCTTCTTGGGGAAAGATAGACGGAAAATATGTTTCAAGAAGTTAAGCATAGAGGCAAGAAGATCACAGATTAACAAAGTGGGCAAATGATCGATCAGCTCTGAAGATCTTATTCTGTATTACTACAGCATTAGTTGGCGGCTGAAGGATTGGAGACGAGGGCTAACCTTCAGCTAGGCGAAAGTGGTCTGGAAAAGTTAAAAATGCTTTTTCCTCATCTCATCGGCAAGAAGAGTCTGCGCCTCGGATTCCTGTGTCGTGTAGGCCTTCGACAAGCGGGCCTCTTGAGTCCCGCTAGTCGCATGGCCCGAGAACACCACTGGTTGGCCTGACAAGGATCTCATTTGTTGACTGGCAATGACTTGAGTACATCCACCCTGTGGATGTATGCGACCTGAGAGGCTTTGGCTTTGTTGCTGAGGTTGAGGTTGAGGTTGTGGCTGAGGCTGAGGCTGGGGCTGGGGCTGGGGCTGAGGTTGGGGCTGAGGCTGAGATTGGGCCTGGGCTTGAGGCAGGTGTCCCTGATGATTGTGTGGATGTTGGTAATGCTGGTGGTGAGCATGCTGATGGTAGTGATGACGATGTGAATGGAGGGCGTACTGTGATTGGCCAGAGTGTCGTTGTTGTTGTTGCTCTTGCCCACTGCGTTGTGACAGCGAATGAGTTGGAGCCAAAGAGGCCGGCTGTCCGGAGTTCTGATGATCACCGGCCGTCTCATGAACGGCCTCTGAAAGGGGTGAATTCGAGAGATCCACCCGTCCGGACGCCCCAGTGGCTGCCTGTCCCGGCTTGAGAAGGGTGGGAAGAGTACTGATTTCGGATATCCAGTTTGTCAGGCTGTTTGTGGTGGCTGTCGAGTCTGAGCTGGTGAGTCCGGCATGCGGACGGGCGTCACGAGGCGACGGACTGCCGGTCTTCGTGGGACCCAAGCCAGTGAGTCCGGTCGGATTGGCGGAGACGGGAAGACAGGCGGACGCTGCCGGTTGGTTAAGCAATGTCGGGAGTGGAGGCGTCGACGGCGGCGCCGGTGGGAGGCATCGGCCGGTCGTGGGCAGCTGGACGGTGGAGAATGAGGCTGAGAGACAAGAGAAACCGGTTGTGCTGGCATGCGTCACCGAGGATCTGCCGCCATCTTGGTCGCTCGAAGAGCTTGTCGTTGCGCTCATCGTAGACGTGATCGGATAGGCCGTCTCAAAGACGGGCGGCTGCAAGAATTGCAGAGTCTGCTGACCCGTGGTACCCGTCGAAGGACAGGCCACAATCGTCTTTGATGACGAATGTGACTTTTGCTGTTGCCCCGCCCCTCTACTCTGTTGCTGGGCGGGCTGGGATGGCGAAGAGGGCTGCAGCAATGATTGAGTGTGTCGTTGAATGATCACCTGCGCCTGTGGTTGCACCTGAGGCGGCGGTTGGGCTCGTGCCATCGCCTTATCGGACCCGCTGACGGCGGTTATCGGCACATGCAGACGACTCGGACTGTCCGGTCTCTTCCGACCGGCAGCAGCATTGAGCTCACTGGTTGCCATGGCGGCAGAAGTGATCACGGTACCTGTGGAATTGGGCAAACCGAGGGTTGCTGTCAGACTGGCGCTTGGTGTCGACTCTGCGGCTGGTGCCACCGTCAGACTGTTGGTGCAGACTTCACCCATTCCGTTTGACCTTTTCAGTTGATTCACCTGCCGTTGTGAGCACGGAGAGGAGGGCTGTTGCTGCTGCTGCTGCTGCTGCTGTCGTTGTTGGTGTTGGTGTTGGTGGTGGTGGTATTGCAGAGTTTGCGGCTGCTGGTCATTGCCATCAATCAAGGGAGGCCGAGGAAGACGGCGGCGAAGCCATTCGTGACGAAACGCCTCACGTGGCGTCATTCGTTCGTCGGGCAACCAGTGCAGGCAGCGGCGAAGGAAATCGAGAAAAGCGACATCTTCACAGCCGTTTAGGGCCTGTTGCAGACTTCGACTTCCCGGAAGGCCTCGCAGTTTTCCACGTTTACTCTTGCCGGGACGGAGTACAGCTCGACCCTCGGAGTCTGTAGTGGTGCAATAACGTGGGTAACCA